ATGACGGCCCCTGGGCAAAAAAACAAACAAAAAAAAGTAAAAAAAAAACTGGTAAGAAGGTAAGGTTACTTAAGTTCACGGGTTCAGGGGAATAGGTTCACTTCTCGGTTCTATTCCGGCAAGAGAATAGAATGCTGCACTTCCTCGATTGAGAAGGTGACGTCAGCGATGTATAGGTTGGGTTTCATGGGACAGGAAAATGGGCTGAGATTTTTTCCTTTTTTCAGGGGTATGGGTCTGCAATTGGTTGTTTGTAATTCTTTCGCTGTTTGGGCTCGTCTTTCTTTTCATTTTTTTGTCTTTTTTTTTATGCCTCTTCCTTTTCTTCTTCACTTCTTGCTTTTTTCTGCTTTTCTTTCTTCTCCTTGACTCGCCTCCTCCTCTTCCTCCTTCGGGTTTTTCTTTTCAACTTCTGCTTCTTCTCTTACTCCTTCTTCTCCACCTCCTCCCACCTCCTCCTCCACCACCGTCTACCCCACTTCCTCCCCCACCCCACCCCCACTCATCCACCTCCTCCTTCTTCTTCTTCTTCTTCTTCTTCTTCTCCTTCTCCTTCTCTTCTCCTCCTCTTCCTCTACCTCCTCTCCTCCTCCTCCTCCTTCCACCTCCCCCCTCCTCCTCCTCCTCCTCTCACCCTCCCCTTCCTCCTTACCTCTCACCTCTATCTCACCTCCACTCTCCTCCTCCTCCTACGTGTGGGCTATATTTTGCTCTCCTTCCTCCACCTCAAAACAGTTCTGTCTGACGTCCAAGTTAGGTCATTCTACCGCACACGACGAAAGTGTGTGTACATGTGGTATGTGTTGACTATGTGTGTGAAAGAGAGAGAGTGGGGGGGGGTCGGGGTGGGTGGGCGGGATTGGGGGCTTGGGGGGGTGGAGCGGGTGGGAACGAGGGGCTGGAGAGAGAGAGCAGAGGAGAAGAAGAAAGGAGAGGCAGAGGGGAGAGGAAAGGGGAGAAGAGATAGAACAGAGAGAAGAGGAAAGCGAGAAAGAGGGGAAAAGAGAGAAAAGGAAAAAAAAATTAAGAAGAAGAGAGGGGAAGAGAGAAAGGAAAGAGGTGAGAGGAGAGAAGGAGAGGAAAAAGGAAGATAGGGAGGAGAAGAGAGAAAGAGAGGAAGGAGGAGACAAGAGGAAGGAGAGGAGAGAAAAGGAAAAGAATAAAAGAAGAGGCAAAAAAAAAAAAAAAAAAAGAAACGAATAGAGGAGGAGTAAGAGGAAAAAGAGGGAGTGATGATGAGAGTGACGAGCTGGCGAGAGGAGAATGGATAGAGAGGGAGACGAGAGAGAGAGAAATGACACTGATCACATGACCTCCTGGGGATTCCGGAGGGGGCCCATGGGGAGGCGAGGGGTGTACGAGGAGCAAGGGGGCTGAAGAAGAAGACCGGGGACGGATCGAGGGGGAGGGGAGGAATGCGGGGGAGCCGAAGGTGAGCGGGGGAGGAGAGAAGGAATGAGAGAGGTGAGAAAGAGAGACTGAAGAGAGAGAGATGACGAGAGGAGAATTAGAAAGAGAGAAAACCAGAGATGAGAGAGAAGAGAGAGAGAGAGAGTGAAGAGAGAGAGAGATGAAGAAGAGAGAGAGAGGAGAGAGAGAAGAGAATTAGAAAGAGAGAAACAGAGAGAGAGAAGAGAGAAAAAAGAAAGAGAGAGTGAGAAGAGAGAGAGAGAGAGAGAGAGAGAGAGAGAGAGAAACTAGAAAGAGAGAAACAGAGAGAACTAGAAAGAGAGAAACAGAGAGAAATTAGAAAGAGAGAAAGAGAGAGAAGGAGAGGGAGAATGTTCGTGACGAGCAGAAAGGCGCCTCGCCGAGAGTGAGAAAGAACTGCAGCAGAAGTAAAAAAAAAAAAAAAATAACCGCAGCGTATAGCACGGGAAGTCCTTCGGGGAAAGTGCGCTGCGCAACAGCTCTGATTTTATGCTTTGCTGTCCGTCTCGCGAGAGGTGTCTCTGTCTCTGGCGTTGTGATTTATCTATCTTTTGTCTTAAGGATGTGTGTGTGTGTGTCCCCTGTCTGTCTCTGGTTGTCTGTCTGTCTGTCTGTTTTCTTTGCTCTTTCTCTTTCTCTTTCTCTTTCTCTTCTCTCTTTTCTCTTTCTCTCTTTCTCTTTCTCTTTCTCTTTCTCTCTCTTTCTCTTTCTCTTTCTTTCTTTCTCTTTCTCTTTCTCTTTCTCTTTCTCTCTCTCTCTCTCTCTCTCTCTCTCTCTCTCTCTCTCTTCTTTCTCTCTCTCCCTCTCCCTCCCTCTATCCCATCCCTCTCTCCCTCTCTCTTTGCTTTATCCCTTCCTATCCTTCATTCACATTCTTACACTCTAAGCAAGTACTTCCGCGTACATACATACCTGTGAGGAAGGTCCAGTTCAGCGTCCATGACTGTGTGTACACCTTTTTTTTTTCATGTAGACATATAGTTGTACGTGCACATTCTGTCTTTTCCTTGACTCTAAATTTGGGTTGGTTGGGGGGGTAGAGGGATGGGGGGAGGGGGAGGGTTTGTGAGGTTAGTTGGGGGGGGGGAAGCAGGGAGGGGAGGGGGGAGGGGTGAAGTTATGAGGAAGGTTTGCAACTTTTCCTTGAGACTTGATGACTGGGTAATGTGTTCTTTTCCTCTCTCTTCTTCTTCTTCGTTTTCTTTGTCTTCTTTCTCTGGCTCTCTCTCTCTCCTTCTTCGTTTCTCTTCTTTCTTTTCCTCTCTTCCTCTCTCCCTCTCTCCCTCCCCTTCCCCTTCTCTCGCCATTCCTCCCTCTCTCCCACTCTCTCTCCGTCTCTCAATCACCCCTCCCTCCCTTCTTCTCTCGCCTTCCTTCCCCTTCCTCCTTCTCTCCCTCTCTCCCCTTCCCCCTTCTCTTCTCTCTCCCTTCCTCCTTCTCTCCCTCTTCCTCCTTCTCTCCCTCTCTCCCCCTTCCTCCTTCTCCCCCTTCCTCCTCTCTCCCCCCTTCCTCCTTCTCTCCCCTTCCTCCTTCCCCTCCTCTCTCCTTCTCCCCCCTTCCTCTTCTCGCCTTCTTCCCCTTCCTCCTTCTCTCCCTCTCTCCATTGGCTTTACTACTTCTCTTGACACTACGAGTCCGCTGTCTCCTCTTCCTGGGACTCGTTGGACTCTACGTTCGCTCATGTGTGAGGTAAATGTTGATTTTTTGGTCACGTACTTGCTTGCTCCGTGTTGTTATTCTTTCTCTGTGGGTTACTCTCCTTTACTTATTCTTTCTCTCTTGTTTTTTGTCTTCTTTCTCTTCTTCCTCTCTCTTTTTGGTCTCTTTCTTTCTCTCTCCTCTCTTTCTTCTTTTTTCTTCTCTCTCTCTCTCTCTTCTCTTTTTTTTCTTTCTCTTTCTCTCTCTCACCTTCCTTCTTACTTCCTCTACCTCTCTCTTACATCTTTCTCTCTACTTCCCTCCATCGCTTCTTTCCTTCCACTTTCCCTCTCTCCCTATCCCTGCTGCTTCACACCCCTCCTTCTCTTTTTTCCCGCTTTCCCTCTCTCTTTTCCTCCCTTCCTCTCTTCTTCCCTTCCTCCCTCTCTCTTCTCCGCTCCTCCTCTCTTCTCCTTCTTCCTTCTCCTCTTCCCTCCCTCCCTCTCTCCCTCTTCTCCTCTTCCCTCCCTCCCTCCTCCCACCTTCTCCTCTTCCCTCCTCCCTCTCTTCCCCCTCCTTCTCCTCTTCCCTCCCTCCCTCCCTCCCTCCCTCCCTCCCCACCTTCCCACTCATGCATCTGCAAAGGAGAGAAAACACCAGACGAAGTGAAAGGGAAAAAAAAAAGAAAACTGTAAAAGAAGAAGAAGAAAAAAAAGTTGCCCTGAACTTTTGACGTTTAATATGAACGGCGGCGGCGCTGGAGTGACCCCCCACCCCCCCCCCCCCCCCGACGCCCCAGACGAGATTGCGTCATAGGGCGAGCAGACGGGCGGCGAGGGCGAGGAAGAGCGCATTTTCCGCGGGCGTAGTGCTGCCGGTGGGGTGGGAGGGGGGAGGGGTGTCAGGAGTGATGGGCCAGTGTCAGGAGTGATGGGTGGGTGTCAGGAATGATGGGTTGGTGTCAGGAATGATGCCAGTGCCAGGAGTATGGTGTGGGTGATGGGTGGTGTCAGGAATGATGGGCCAGTGTCAGGAGTGATGGGCCAGTGTCATGATGGGGCCAGTGGAGTAATGGGTGGGTGGCAGGATGATGGGCCAGTGTCAGGGAGGAGGGCCAGTGTCAGGAATGATGGGTTGGTGTCAGGAGGATGGGCCAGTGTCAGAGTAATGATGACAGTGTCAGGAATGATGCCAGTGTCAGGGATGATCGGCCAGTGTCAGGAATGCTGGGCCAGTGTCAGGCATAATGGGTGTGTGCTTTGTGTGTATCTGAGACTAAGGTGTTACTGTAGTCGTATTTTGTACTGTATAGTATTGTTAAGATTGCGGGGAAGAGAGGGGGTGACAGTCAGGGAGAGGAGGAGAGAGAAAGGGAGAGAGAGGGTAGAAAGACGGAAGAAGGGAGGGAGAGAGAGAGGGAGAAAAGGGAGGGAGAGAGAAAGAAAGAAAGAAAGAGAGCGTGTAGTTGAAGAGGAGAAATAGAGAGAGAGAGAGAGAGAGAGAGAGAGAAGAGAGAGAGAGAGAGAGAGAGAGAGAGAGAGAGAGAATAGCAGAGAAAAAAGAGAAAGAAACAAAAAAAGAGAGAGAGGGGGAAACTAATCCCGAGAGCCCTGCCAGTATGCACCGCCGCTACCTATGACGAATAAAACCCGAATCAACCTCTCCCACGGCAATATTTATGCTCTTTAGGCCTACCTGGACGGACGGACCTTTCGCAAGCCAACTAGGAAATCAATGCACGTGCGGGTTGAGTCGATAATCCCCCTTTCAGCAGAATTACGCAAGACTGGTAGTAAGTCCAGTAGAACGTCTTATTCATCGAGCCATAATGAGCGTTTTTTTTTTTTTTTTTAATCCTGTGGCGAAAGTACTCGTTGGGTAAATGTAGGAAAAAAAGTTGTGGTTTCAATTGAGTGGGTTTTTTTTTTGTGTGTGATTGTATATGATTTTTTTGTGTTTGGGTGCGGGAGGGGGTATGTTGCTGTTACGCTTTTTGAGATGAAGCAGTTTGTTTCTCTGTCTGTCTCTGTCTCTCTGTCTCTGTCTTCTGTCTCTCTCTGTCTCTCTGTCTCTGTCTCTGTCTCTGTCTCTGTCTCTCTCTCTCTCTCTCTCTCTCTCTCTCTCTCTCTCTCTCTCTCTCTCTCTCTCTCTCTCTCTCTCTCTCTCTCTCTCTCTCTCTCTCTCTCTCTCTCTCTCTTCTCCTCTCTCTCTCTCTCTCTCTCCCTCTCCCTCTCCCTCTCCTCTCTCTCTCTCTCTCTCTCTCTCTCTCTCTCCCTCTCTCCTCTCTCCCTCTCTCCCACTCTCCCTCCCTCGCAATACCTCGATCAGAGTTATTCATTTATTTTTTCTTTTCTTTTCTTCGTGGGTGCTCCACCCATCCCACTTCCTCATCCACTCCATTTTTTCTCCCTCGATGTCCACTTCCAGTAACATTAGAAAGTGGCGCTTCCCTCTCTCTCTCTCTCTCCCTCTCTCCCCGTCGCGCGAGTGGCTCTGTAAAAGCACGTAAGCCACAAAAAAAAAAAAAAAAAAAAAAAAAAACTGGATCGGGTCGTGGAAACTGCTGTTGTGAACCTGCTGTTACCACGTCTCCACTCCCTCGGTCTTGGGCTCCTCTCCTCTCCTTCTCGCTCATTTGTTTATTTTAGGTCTTATTCTGCTGTTTTGTTTTGATTTTTTTACTCTTGTCTTAGCTTTTTTCTTTTTTTTTTTTTTCTTTCTTTCTTTTTGCCTTTCGCTTCTCCTCCTCCTCCTCCTCTCTACCTCCTTTTCCTCCTCTTCCTTCTCCTCCTCCTCTTCCTTCTCTACCTCTCCTCCCCCTCCTCTTTCTTCTCTTTCTCTTCCTCTTTTCAATACTGTTCATTTTGTTCTTTTGCCTTGTGTTCAGAATACTACAGCATTTCCGTCGATTTCATTTTCTTACTATGTGTTCCTTCTTGCATCGCCACAAACATGCACACGAGTGTACGAGCTAAAACAAAACGCGCACACGCACACATACGCGCGCGCGCACTCACTCACTCACACTCACACTCACACACTCACACACACACACACACACACACACACACACACACACACACACACACACACACACACACACACACACACACACACACACACACACACACAACACACACTCACTCACTCACTCACTCACGTACATCCATCCATCCATTCATTCCCTGCATCAAATTCCAAATCTACCAACTTCATATAACCGTTATCAAGGTCATGACTAATTATTTAAAAAATACCGAAGAAAGATCCACTTCCTTCCGGAAATTTCTTGCACAAATTCGAAATTGTAACCCCAGGCCGCCCGTTGTGACTGGCCGTTGCTTTTGTTTGAAGGGGGAGATCTCTTTTCCTGTCCATATTTCCGGCATTTATGTCGTAAGGACTGCGAAGAACAACTATTCCTACTATTACGTGAATAATGAGGGCGGGCGGGGGGGGGGGGGTTTAACTTCACGCTAATGGCGGTGTTTATACCTTAATTTTCACCTGACGTCCACCTCTCTCTCAGCTGATCGTTATCAGTCTCTCCGCGCCGACGCCCAGGACCTTTCCACAGGCGCCTCGAACGCCTTTCGACTGACGCGGAGCCTCGGAGTTTCGAAATAAGGTTCGCGATGGACGTGGCGGCTGCAGCTGGGTCTCTTCCACTCGCCCCGCCGCCGGTCCCGTGTCTTTCGTGGCGGCTCGGGCAGGGAATCCCCAAGGGCAGGAGGAGGACACCCGCTCTGCCGACGACAGGATAGACAGGATTTAGGTTGCTTCCGTGATGTCGGTTTTCATTAGAGGAGGGGAATCCGGGCATTATTTTTTTTCCGATTTCGTGTGCGTGTGTATGAAAGGAGTTTTCCGGGCGTCGGGTAGAGAGGGTCGGGCGACCGCAGCGCCACTCGCTTGTGACGTTCGCCGAGGACGTTCAGTTCGTCACCCTTCGCAGCCCTCGCACGAATGTCCTCCGTCGCAAGCAGTTTAAAATGGGTTGGATTGTTATTCCAAACGCCACGGTTAATCGTTGGTTGTTAATTTAGATTGGGACCGGCATGTGGTATCCACACTTCCCTTTAAGTGGGTGTTCCGCTGCCATAACAACCGTAATTGCTCTTTACCGATGCCCCTTTCCCGCGAAAACGAGCGAGGATAGCACCCTTAACCCCATTCACTTTCGCGCGTTATACCCCGGAGTCCTCGCTTGGCCTAGAAAACGGTAGCTTCGCCCCGAGCTGAGGGGGTTATCCTAACGGTCCGACCCGAATACCAGCGATGCCCGTACGATACCCTAAATCAACGGGGCATCGATATACGGTGGTTTCTGGTGGCATTCTCGTTCGTTCTATCTCAACCCGAATGCCTTTGTGTTAGTGATGAAGATGAAACAAAGAGCTTTCTAAGACCGTATGTTTAAAGTACCGGATGTTTTTGGTCTCCGGTAGGACAGCCGCGTGACGTCACGAGATCTCCACGAACGCTCGTCTTGCTTTACGGTAACGAGGGACATCCGCTGAGAAATGTATATATTAATTATTCTTATAATATATATAGATTATAAAATAAATATATATATATTTAAAATATATAGATTATTCTTATTTTATTTTTTTCAAAGGATGTAAGCAAGTCGATTTTTTTTTTAAATTGTTCCTGAAAATATTTCGATCTACAACGCTACGCCATGTTTATTTTAAGATTAAATAGATCGAGTGCTTGGTCTGAATCCTTCATTCGTTGCAGTCACACACTTCCGGTGCTGTGAAGTGCAGAAGACACGCCAAAACGGAAAGGGATATGGCACATTACGCTTGGTTTTCTTCCAGTTCTGTAACGACTAATTAAGTCCTTTAACTAACTGGCGAATTCCTTTCCGTGGAAATATCTGCTCTTGGCTTCTTCTCACTTTCGTCTTCATTCTGTCTGTGTGTGTGTGTATTTATTTTATTTTATTTATTTGTTATGTGTATATGTGTATGTTGATAGATTTATAGATGGATGATGCACATAGGCCTGTGTGTGTGTGTGTGTGTGTGTGTGTGTGTGTGTGTGTGTGTGTGTGTGTGTGTGTGTGTGTGTGTGTGTGTGTGTGTGTGTGTGTGTGCGTGTGCGTGTGTGTGCGTGTATACGAGTATTCAGTAATTACATATCGTTACGCCTTGAGTACTTACAGTGTACATCTTAGTAAGTAAATGATGCATAAATAAACTGTCTTCCTCCTCACCCCCCACCCCCACCCCCACCCCGGCCACCTGCCATTTCTACGCCCCCCCCCCCCGCCTCCACACTCAGATGACCGCTCTATTTACGTCTGTGACCTGGTCTGATGACTTCCTGGTTACTTGTGACCTAAGGATTGGGTAGAGGGAGGAGGGGGGGGGGTGATGATGCTTCCTTGTACGACCTTTATCATCTTCCGTTCTGGTTCATATGAGATATGATATATATATATATATATATATATATATAATATATATATATATATATATACAGTATATATGTATATGTGTGTATATATATGTATATATATATTTTGTGTGTTTATTATATGCTTAAAAAAAAAATAATATATATATATATATATATGATATATGTATGTATATATATATGTGTGTGTGTGTGTGTGTGCATGTATGTGTATGTAAATGTATAAGACAGACGTACAGACGGATAGGCAGATTTTTCCCCTAATTTTAGTCTCTCTTTTCCAATTATTTCCACTCACCAACCCCACACCCAAAACATAAACACAATCCTCCCAAAACACCGACGATATGTCCCACTGCACGTAACTTAAAAACCATAAATTTTGAAATGCCGAGTAATAGATCAGTGGACCGCCTGCCTGTCTGACCCCCTCGGAGCGCGTCCGTTAAATCCGTAATGGCAGAAAACGCGATCATGTTGAAGAGGAGAACTTCTACGCTGGAAAGGGCAGTTGAATGCTTTTCCGTGCTTGGGTGGAGGGGGGGGTGGGGGTGGGTGGGGGTTGGAGGGGTGAGGGGTGGGGTTGGAGGAGGAGGTTGGGTGGGTTGGAGGTGGAGGGGTGGGGAGGAAGGTAGAGGAGGTGAGGGAGGGGGATAGGGGTGGGAGGAGGAGAGGAGGGTTGGAGCGTTAAGATG